AAAAATGTTAGTTGTTCATGTGGTGATCAATATGTAATGCATTTTCATGTAATACTGCCATTTACATACATGTATTACATTACTTAGCTTACCTTGTGCTTATAAAGTAAAAATGACTACCCTAAAATAAAGTTCGTTTAAGTTAGTAAACATCGAAAGTTGTTAGCCCCAGAAAACACTGTCGAGTTGGTTTAATAAAATGTTGAACATTAATGTTGTGTTCAATGTGATTAGTTACTACGATTATCAGTTGAGTAAGGCGGGACGAAAGTCTGGTCACCAAGTTTTACAGTTTACTGAAACCGGGGCCACCCAGACAATGAAAACAAATCAGATGACAGAACTGAAACAATAGATTCCAACATTGTCAAATCCAGCCAATCAAATGTCCGGTACAAAACAATGAAATCTAAACTTGCTCGTTGTGATGCTTACGCGACTACCTGTGCGATTACTGTAATACCTTCACGGCATACATGCTGTCATCACAGTAATTAGCCTAACTTCTAGGTTTTTCAATGAAAAATGGTTATACCAAAAAATAGATAAATAAATAAAGGAATGTCGCTGTTTTGGACAAAAATGGCAGAAAACAACCTGTAAAGTTTCCAATTTTGATGGTGTTTAAATGGTAAACGTGGTCTATGAGAAGATTTTATATCAGGCTCGATGAAAACGCGAAAAACGTTTACAATTTCTTAAAAGGAACCAACACCATGCTCGAAATACGAAAATGTTTTGAATCACTTGACATTTTCGAACAAATGTAGAATACTCTAAACAGGTTTGAATGATGATCTGCGTCAAAATGCTGGAAGAATTTCTTACTGTCAGACATTTATTTATTTATTTATTTATTTTGACAGACTCACGGGGAAATAATTGAAACAAACCAACCTGGAAGGTTTTATTCGAACCTCTTGAGAGTGTTCTTTGTTTGGAAATGTCGAGCGATAAAAAGGAACTATTTTGAACAACCGTAACCCGAATGCCAAAGTTTCACTGTGTCCACCCCAAAAACAAGATCACGGATCCCATCTTCGGATATCAAAGAATACCATTTGCCCCCCTCCCAAGAGGTATATTGCCTTCTGAACGAGGCTTTGGCAAGGATTCAGTCTGAACCATTAAAGTCACGGTTGAATTTTGAATCGATGGAAAACAGCTCTCTGAACGTAATTCTTAACTGAGAAACAGCAATGCTTTAAATGCCAATTTATCGGATAACGTATTTTAGTATATTCTCAGCTCCGACTATTGCATTTCTAGCTCTCTGATTGGCTCAAAAACTCCGACTATGAGCCATTAGTCGGAGTTTTACCTTATATACTAAAACAATTATTCCATTCGACCTTGTTGGATATGAAGTGATCATAACCAACTCGCGCTACGCGCTCGTTGGTTATTTATCACTTCATATCCAACGCGGTTTCATGGAATAATTGTTAATTAGCCGAATGATGCCCAACTAACAAGCAGCTCAAAAGCTTAGAACTCAGCCCCCGCCTTCCCGGCAACCTCCCAGCGTGCTTTGCGTGGATAGTACCGCCATGTTATGAGAATTCGCCAAACTTGAAGCCCATGAAAGGTTAGGTGGTCTTTCACTCTCATTCTTAGTTTGTGGGGATATTTTAGTTATCTTTTTTAACTTGCTGATCAATGATTGGCTATTTGTTTCATGCCATTTTAAGGTGTCAACTGAAAAGGAGTGTTCGCATTCTTGTTGTTGTTTTTGTCTTCAAAGAGAAGAAGTGCTGGAAATGACTAGAAACCGAATTGGTTAAGGCAGGGAAATACCATGAAGCCCAGAAAAGGAACTGGAAGGTTAGGACTGGGGAAACAGTTAGATGAATGTAAGGTTCATGCAACACGTAACATGACACGATGACAATGACTGAAAGAGAAAACAATGGATTGCAAAGGTCAGCAAAGATAACAGTGGACATTTTTTGTACATTTTTTGGTTGACTTTAGAATCAGGGCTCTTAGTATAAACGAAATCATGTACAGTTTTTACAAAGTGACAATGCTAATCAGTAGTGGATCCAGACCTTGAACTAAAGGGGGGGGGGCGTTTGTTTTGCTTGCCCTGCCAACTTCTCTTCCTTCTGTGATTTCTTCTTTTTTTACCCAAAATAAGGGGGGGCAGGCTGGACCCCCCGGGCTCCTCCCCTAGATCTGCCACTGCTAATGTTGTATGTTATACAGCAAAGAGCACTCGTTCTACAGTCACCTAAAAAAGTACAAAAAACTGTCAACTGTGCAAGATTCGAGTGTCCTTACTGTCAATATAACCAAATATTGCCTAAATGTTGCCTGGTCATTCTCCTATTGTTATGATCTTGATGAGCAACTTTCCTC